TACTTCATCAGACAGGTCTACCACACCCATCAATAACAACAGCTGCTCTGCTACATGGCCTACAAGTCACTGACGTACCTTCCTACTTCATCAGACAGGTCCAACACACCCATCAATAACAACAGCTGTTGTGCTACATGACCTATAAGTCACTGACGTACCTTCCTACTTCATCAGACAGGTCTACCACACCCATCAATAACAACAGCTGCTCTGCTACATGACCTATAAGTCACTGACGTACCTTCCTACTTCATCAGACAGGTCTACCACACCCATCAGTAACAACAGCTGTTGTGCTACATGACCTATAAGTCACTGACGTACCTTCCTACTTCATCAGACAGGTCCAACACACCCATCAATAACAACAGCTGTTGTGCTACATGACCTACGAGACACTGACGTACCTTCCTACTTCATCAGACAGGTCTACCACACCCATCAGTAACAACAGCTGTTGTGCTACAAACGTCTGCGGCATGGCTTGTCCTTCGTTTATCTCTGGTATACTGGAGTACTCTTTCTCTGTGTACCTGTAGTACAAAAAATTTTGTTTGGTGTCATTTAAAGAATTTTCATTTCATAATTTTGTCAATTTTTGTGTTACCTAGCTTGATTAGCATTGATAACCAATATCACTACCTTATCTCATTTATTTTTTAAGATAAAATTCAGCAATAAAACTTTTGCTAAAAAACATAATATTACACGACGTTTCGATGTTAACTGAACGTCATTATCAAGTGATAAAAACTAAGAAAACGTTAATTTATATGCATGAATAATAATGAGTATAAAAAGGTGCAAAAACGAAAAACTATGTAATTTAAGTATTGTACAATAAAATGATGAACAATGAAAGAAAAATAAAAAAAAAACACTAATAAAATACTTAAGCCTGAATAGAGTCACTTTGAATATTTAAACTGGGTTTCAGTTTGTTAATAAATAACATTTAATTAATTTAAAACAGTCCCATTTTGACGAGCATTTCTTTAAAATGTTCTTGACTTATTAAGGAAAAGTTTCCATGTTTTTCTCGAAGGTTTACCGATTGATGATGTCTTTAGTTTATGTTCATCGATGCGTTGGTGTAGATGTCTTGTTTAATCAGTTTAATCATTTTATCAGTTAATGCCATTTTATGTAATTTTTTCCAAATTGTTTAATTTTTGTGGTATAAATAAATACGATGTTCAACTATAACATCGTTAGAAGTAAACCAGTACAGTAAAAACAAATTAAATATATACATATATATATAAATATTTAACTCTGACGATTGGAAATTGAAAGAAAAAAATGGTTTGAATTTAAGGCGGAAGTCAGAATATTTGGAACATGTGCATATTTGACGACCTAGAATCTGGGTCTTCCGGTCTTACTAGAGCCTTCAATATTTTTGGTGAGAAGGATCTGGGTTCAAGAATGACAGCTCGATTATAGCTACAATCTGTGCCAAAACAGTTGAGACTCCCCTCATTATTTACTACACTTCTTTTAACATTAGCATGTCTTTAAATAAATGAATCCCCACTTATTCTTACCATCCCACTCCCCCGAGTTCAATGTTGGTTTTGTACAAGGTACACCCTCACTTAAATCAGAAGCTGATCCTCTCAACATTGCGAAGGAAGAGCAGGGCTCGAAATAGCAACCTGCCAATGGCCAAATGACAGGCCAAATTTCAGGTTTGGCAGGCAAAAATAACGATGCACTGCCAAATGAATAATAAAATATCATGCAAAATTTACTGGAATGACCTCCTTTTAGCATGCTCCTTTGCTATGGCAGACTACAATTTTTTCTATTTTGAGCCCTGGATAGGAGAGGGGGTGAAATTGATAAAGTTTGTAATGTGTTTGGGTTGGAAGGGAAGTTGAGTATGAGTCTCTACTAGTTCTGGTGCAGATTGTAGCTGTCTGGGTTGCATAATTATGAAAATGGGTGAAATATACTTACCCTTGTACATATTGACAGAACACAGACACCTCTGGCAGAAGCAGGTCAAGAAGATCCTCTCCCTCCACCCCTAGGGACTTGATGTGTTCACCAAGACATCTCCAGTAGAATGCAGTCTCACAGTCCAGTTGGTCATATGGTATGCTAATGGGACCTGATTGGTTAGTGTCTGATTTGAGGCTGCTTATTTGGTCCTGTAGGTCTTCCTTCATCATACCTAATGTTGTCATAGTACAAGTAATGATAAAAGGGTAAATTTTACACAGTGAAAAGATGAAAAAACTTACTGACGTTTCGGATGCTAGTCCTTTGTTGGAGTAAAGGAGAAAGAGGTGGTAGAAAGGAGTGTATATATGATAGAATAAGACAAAAGAAACCAATAAGAACAAGGTAGGCAAGGAAACAAAAAGAAACAATCAAAGACAAAAGAAAAGGTTAGTTGAAAGTAAAGCGTTCATTAATCCTGTTGGGAGTAAGAGTGCCCAATAGGTGAATAAGCTGCATTTCTTTGGTCTTGCGACAATCATTGTTGTCGTTAATCAAAGAAAGACCGAAAACAATGAAGTTAAAGAAAATGGTTAGCTAGATTAAAATGGCGGGAAACTGGTTTGGTGGGATCGTTATTGCGAATATCATAAATATGATTGAGATGATAGTAAAGCGTCATTAAATGCAGGGAAGTACTGTCATTTGCATAGACACAAACAACAGACAATAGAAATGAAAGGAAAGGGAAAGAATATAGGAGGACAGTAAGAGAAAAGGGTTAATGGGAGAAAGGAAAGAGTAGAATAAAAATTGAAAGGTGGAATAAATAGCTAAATAAAACATGGGAAAAGAAAGAAGAGGTGCTTTTTATTAGAACCAATCTATATTTATTTAGCATATAAGAATAATATTGGCCACTTTAGGAAGGAGCAAGAGAAAAAAATCTCTTGTCTTTTAAGAAAAAAGCATCTCAAGATTATTAAGTCTGGCAAATTTGAACATGACTGGATGAAAAGAACCAGAGTTATTGATTGATTGAAGACTTTATTTCATGAGGTTGACAAATGACGTAATTTTGTTAACTGATTAACTTGTGGCCCTCGAGTTTTTTTAACACGGGCACTGAAGATGGTTGTCACCAGCATCTTCAGTGGATCTTTTACATTTGCCTTGTACAGAGTTATATTAGTGAAGACAGACGGGGCCTATGGTTTTAAGTCCTTGTCCGAGAACACTTGAAGGTCTGACCATTTGCAGGTGTAATTACAAAGGCAGCACCTTCTCTTCAGTTATTTTAAGACCCTGAGTGTTGGTCCGGCCGAGGCTTGAACCATGACCTTCCGCACAACAGACCGACGCTCTTACCAAGTGAGCTAACCAGGTGGCAGTGGCTTTCAAATGTGTTGAAAATTTACAAGGAATGCATTCTTGTCTCCTGTAACCATACATTCTCACTTTTGAAGGCTTGTAGCTCTGGCTCTTTTTATCCAATCACATTCAAATTTCACAGACTTACTAATATTAAGGTGCTTTATCAGACGACAAAATTCTTTTGCTAATTAGATTGAAATTTAAAACTTGCCCCAGTCTTTTGTTCGTTTCTAAAGTAGCCAAATAATACTGTATACCTTTTAACAAGGCTTTGACTGCAATTTCTGCTGTGTCTACAGAATTCTCAATATCCAAACACTTCAGAAGACTGACCACATTGCCGTCTAGGGATTTCAGCCATCCTTGCAATATGCACTTAATGCATACTTCTTGAATAACAGATGACCTGTTTGGGTATACAGCCACATTATTTCAGATTTCTTAAAGGTCGTGATAAACTAACAGTCACGAAGAAAGTGGCAACCATCTCCATCATCTGCACTGTTATTTTGATTGACAGCTAGTGAAGGGTTGCATGTGACATGCGATAATTCATGATTTAAATAAAAGCATTTTTCTGATTATTCTTACGATGTTGTAGAGACAATTTGGAAAAGTTGGGCCATTTATTTCAATGCTCTGTGACTGAACTACAGCCTCTTGTAGCTCGTAGTAGGGTAAAAATTTTGTCCTTCGTTATGACAGCTGGGTGGTTAAGTAGGTCTACAGTGCAACTGCTGTATCTGGGACGAACCATTAGATTTTTTTGGGGGGGAGGGGGTTGGGCAATTTATTTTGTGCAGGAATTTTTTTTACACCTCATGGCTGTGCAGGATATTTTTTTTGGGAACATAATTTGGAATTTTTTTCTGGCACTTTCCTTATGCAAGATTCTTTTTCACTCTTTAAAGCTGTGCTTGA